CCGGAAAAGCAGCCGCTTTTCCAGAATAAGCTGCGAGCTGTCTACACTGGCCCCTTGAATTTCCGGAAAAGCAGTGACGATTTACTGTAAGAAATCAGCTGCTTTTCCGGAAAAACTATGCTGCTCCAGCTCGGGCAAAAGTCCTTTTACCTGGAAAAATGTTCCGGAAAAGGGCCAGTGTAGACAGCACAGTAGACTTTTCCTCAAAAAAGCCCCAATCGCGAAAATGACAATCGAGGCTTTTTTCTGGAAAAGCGTGACTACATTGGCCACGGACGCTTTTCCGGAAAAAGTGCTTTTCTGGAAAAACATCCTGCCAATGTAGACGCTCTTTTTCCGGAAATACTTATAACGGAAAACTGTTCCGTTTTAAGCATTTCCGGAAAAAGGTGCCAGTGTAGACACAGCCCACAGGTACACAGACACTAACAACAAAAAGATCCCAAAAATTTTCTCAGAGAAAAAGGAGCGAATTCACACAAGTGTAGCAAATCTTCAAATAATAATTAATCTCATGTTCCAAATCAAAGTACGTATTGTATCATACATATTCAAGACTGTAAATACTAGTAAAGCAAAGTTGAAGCATTACTTATATCAAGGCAGGAGCTGCGTGCAGTTAGGTACTGTAACATGCAAAGCGAATTAATTATGTCTTAAGTGATGTAAGGCTGTAGTTTTAGCAAGGTACAAGTGAGTGCTTTTATATGTTGGCGGATTGTATATCTGTACATATATAAAGGTTTCATTTTCAGAGTATGGGCTTGGCATATTTTGAAGGCTATTTCAATACCAACAGTAATACAGATTTATTATTTACTTACAGCATTTTACTTTTCAGTTTTCAGAAGAATGTACCTAACCTAATCAGATGTTTAAAAAAAAATGTAGTGTACTTCCTGCAATTGACAGCAGCCAAAGACAATCCCCGATTTAGAATTCAGCTGCCAGACAGGAGAGCAAAAGCCAGACACTCTCATCAATCAGTTGCCCAGCCAAGTGCTTTGAATAAGATGCTGCTCACACCAAATCCATCTCTGGCCAAAGCCTCAGTCCACAACTGTTCCTTGCACAAAGTCCTAAAAAATTAGACTGCAGTGACCTAAAGAGAAAAGTGCATTTCACCTAGCTGGCTTTCTGTCCAAGGCAGCATCCCTCCAATCCTACAGATCACTGAGTCCCCTGGCTCATCTCAGCTGTTGTCGTGGTACAAAGGATAACCAAGTAATGAACACTACTAACAGGATTAAACTTAGAAACAAATTCAGCAGCAGACCACATTCAGCATACAAACCAGAGGTGTTGAACATCATTTCCACTATTCTGCAAGCATGCTGAATGGGCAGCACAAAACCAGTTTGAATGAGGAAACTTTCAGATTCTGGTATCAGAGGGGTAGCCGTGTTAGTCTGAATCTGCAAAAGCGGCGAGGAGTCCTGTGGCACCTTATAGACTAACTGAAGTGTAGGAGCATAAGCTTTCGTGGGCAAAGACCCACTTCGTCAGATGCATGTGACGAAGTGGATCTTTGCCCACGAAAGCTTATGCTCCTACACTTCAGTTAGTCTATAAGGTGCCACAGGACTCCTCGCCGCTTTTGCAGATTCAGACTAACACGGCTACCCCTCTGAGAATTGATAGTGTGGATGCTCCTCCTGTTATTTTGAAATAAGGGGAGTTAGTTTGAATTAATGGGTCATTCTAAAAAAACAAAATCACTTTGACTTCCTACTTTTGTACGGTGCTGGTAGCATTTCAGTCTCTAGATAGGATGGATGAGACACTTGATGGACAAGTTGTCCCGTGGCACCTTTGGGTATGTCTAGACTGCAGGAATTTGTCAACAGAGGCAATGCAAATGAAGCGCTCATTAGCATTTCTTGTGCTGTCATTTGCATAATCTCTTCTGATCCTTTCTGCAGAAGAGAATTTTGCGCAAAAAAACGCCGTGTAGACGGGGCAGTTTTGTGCAAAAAAAACAAACCTTTGCGCAAGATCCCTTATGCCTCAAAAAAGGAGGCATATAGAATCTTGGGGAAAAGAGAGGGTTTTTTGCACAAAATGGCCCCGTCTACGCTGCTTTTTTGCACAAAAACCTCTCCCTCAAAAAGGAGCAGAAGAGACTATGCAAATGACAGCACGAGAAATGCTAACGAACGCTTCATTTGCCTTGCCTCTGTCGACAAATTCCTGCCATCTAGACATAGCCTTGAAGACAAACAAAAATATATACAGTATCATGAGCTTTCGTGGACAAAACTGACTTCATCGGAGGAGCTTCAGTGGAGAAAAAAGCACTTAACGAAGGAGAATAATGAATAATCATAAGCAAACGAGCCTGTGAAACTTCCCCGAAGTTGCAAAAGCTTTCTGGAATTCCCACTATCACTGAATGTTTCTGCGTAATGAATAACGGCACCTCCCGAATAGCAGAGAATTGATTTCAAGCTGCTCGGGTTGCAGATGTCCTTGTAAATCAGTTTTCTCTTATTTGACCAGCTCTGATGTGAACCCTGGTGTCTTAGCCAAGTGCCAGAGTTGTTAAATTCTTCCTATTTAATTTCCCCAGAGGTATTTGTGTTCTAGTGAGGGCTGAAGTCATTTTTTGTATATCTGGATTTTTAAGCACTTTGGGACGAACGACACTATATTAGAAGCAGATGATCCTGTTGTTACTGGAGTATTACCTCTGAGAATCATTAGAGGCACTACAGTAAATGGTTTAAAAAATATTAAGGGGTCCATTTTCCCCTTGGTACAAGTCCTCCGATAAGCTTAAGATTGCCTCAAATAGGGATACTTTGCCTACCACTCCAGAAATTCTGGTGTGGTGTGTGAGAAGTAGGGGTGTAAAATCATGTTTAATCAGTTAACCGGTTAAACGTCACGTTTAACCAGTTAACTGCTTAAACAGTGGCTGGAGCAGCCCACAGCCTGCAGCACAACATGGACCTAGGGGCTATACTAGCCCAGTTGGGCCCACTGTACCACGGGCGGCTCTAGCCAGGGTGGGCCCGCCACACGATGGACAGGGACTGTTCCAGCTGCGCCAGACCGAGCCCACTGTACCGCACTGTGGGCAGGCAGGGAGCTACCCCATGCTTACTGGTTAACCAGTACTATATAGCACTTTAAAGACTAAAAAGATGGTTTATTAGGTGATGAGCTTTCGTGGGCCAGACCCACTTCCTCAGATCAAATAGTGGAAGAAAATTGTCACAGCCATATATACCGAAAGATACAATTTTAAAAAATTAACACATATGAAAAGGACAAATCAAATTTCAGAACAGAAGGGGGATGGGAGGGAGGTAAATGTCTGTGAGCTAATGATATTAGAGGTGATAATTGGGGAAGCTATCTTTGTAATGGGTAAGATAATTAGAGTCTTTATTCAAACTTAATAAGACTAACTCATCTACACAGGCATCTCTGAAGTTCCCCTCTGTAGGGAGTAGGTTACAGTGGATGCTGGTCTCTGAAAATTGGATTTCATAATAAGGGATAAGTCAAGTCATGCAATAGCAAGTAAAACAGCACCAAGTAGCACCTCGATAGTACAGGGCTCAAAAAGAAATCAAAGACAAGGTATTTGGCTGTAGGTGGGATTTTGACAAAGAGGCTGATTCTGAGCTCATTTTTATGCAAATGTTTAGCCCTGATTTATCCTGGCCCCAATGAGATCAAAATCAGGCCCAGTGTCCAACTTTACAGAAAATGAGGCTAAAGGCAGAACAAATGGTGAGAAACATTGCAACCACATTCAGGGTATGTCTAGACTACATGGCTCCGTCGACGGAGCCATGTAGTCTAGACATACCCTGAATGTGGTTGCAATGTTTCTCACCATTTGTTCTGCCTTTAGCCTCATTTTCTGTAAAGTTGGACACTGGGCCTGATTTTGATCTCATTGGGGCCAGGATAAATCAGGGCTAAACATTTGCATAAAAATGAGCTGAGAATCAGCCTCTTTGTCAAAATCCCACCTACAGCCAAATACCTTGTCTTTGATTTCTTTTTGAGCCCTGTACTATCGAGGTGCTACTTGGTGCTGTTTTACTTGCTATTGCATGACTTGACTTATCCCTTATTATGAAATCCAATTTTCAGAGACCAGCATCCACTGTAACCTACTCCCTACAGAGGGGAACTTCAGAGATGCCTGTGTAGATGAGTTAGTCTTATTAAATGGTAACATGGTAACTCCCCTTTAAAAGCATATCTACCTCACCTAGGGAAGATGGCCTTTTTATGCAAAAAAACCCCAACCCTCTATGTTGTTTCTTATGAGATAGAATTGAGTAAGCATGAAACTCGATCTTTTTTATGCTGTGAAAGCCAGTAATAACCCTTCTTTATTGCAGACTCATGCTTGACTAGAGCTGTACTACCTCCAGCCTGCTCCCACCGTCTGCTCTTTTAGCCGTGTCCTCTTGAGCGGCAATCTAATCATATTTCCTAATACTAAGCAGGATCAGGCTTGAAGAAGCGACATTAGAGGAGCAAACCCAAGGTGCTGCAAACAGCGATGTTTCCTTTGATTTCAATGGCGAACCCCCCCATGCAGTTTAAAGAGCGCAGTGCTATCTTTTGGGTGAGACCTGGTGCCACGTTGTTCACCATTTGTGATTGTGAACTATCTCATGGTTGACATCCCCAGAGTTGGGGTTTGCATCCCAATGTCCTGGTCACACATTCTGCCTAGCTTCAATTCCCAAAGCAGCTTCTATTGTATATGATGCATTGCACTCCCCTAACCATTGTGCATTGTTGCTCTTGTGTGGTATTGTGAGGTGCTCTGTTTTATCCCAGAGGTGGGTGCAATTTAGTGATTGTTGTGATGCTTCCTATATGCAACTGGGTGTTACTCTTAGGTTGTATGGGTTGCAGTTAGAAGGAGGCAGCAAGCACATCCTGTGTGTTCTTTGGTCCTTTAAAACAGCGCTTGATTCTTCAGAAACCTTTATCCACTTGAAAACTTTGGTGACAATGTCTTGCAGAGGAAATCTACCTCTAACGAACTCTGCGTTCAATGCAGCAATGAACTTTGGCTGCCCACTGCTGAGAAGCACACTGTATGACAGCAATGAAACAAGCCATTGGCTTGAGGTGAGTGCAATTACAAGACAGGCAATAGAGTTATTCCGTGACACGACTGAGTTTTGTAGCACGATGCTCTCGAAATGTTTGTGTGTCACTCAGGAAATAGCACATTGCAGCAGAACAAGCAGCTCAGCTCTTCCAACGGGACGCCATGAAGGCCAGAAGGCAAGGAGAAGCGTGGAAAGGATTGCCAGTCTGTCCATCAGCTGAGCTTTTCTCTGGCACTAGGACCAAGGGTTTTAAATGTTCTCTGATAATCTTTAAACTAATTTGTTGCCACTTTCATGGCCCAGGGGCTTTCTATTATATCCCCAGATTCCCACTTCAGATATGTTGTTAATATATGAGAGTCTGACCTAAAGCCCATCAAGTCACTGGAAATACGCCTGAGCTACGTCTACACTGGCATGATTTTCCGGAAATGCTTTTAACGGAAAAGTTTTCCGTTAAAAACATTTTCAGAAAAATCGCGTCTAGATTGGCAGGATGCTTTTCCGCAAAAGCACTTTTTGCGGAAAAGCGTCCGGGGCCAATCTAGACGCAGTTTTCTGCAAAAAAGCCCCAATCGCCATTTTCGCCATCAGGGCTTTTTTGCGGAAAACAGTACTATGCTGTCTACACCGGCCCTTTTGCGCAAAAGTCTTTCGGAAAAAGATTTTTGCCCGAACGGGAGCAGCATAGTATTTCCGGAAGAGCACTGCTGATTTTACATGAGATTGTCAGTGCTTTTCCGGAAATTCAAGCGGCCAGTGTAGACAGCTGGCAAGTTTTTCCGCAAAATCATCTGATTTTGCGGAAAAACTTGCCAGTCTAGACACAGCCCTGCTGTCTCCACTGGCATTTGGATCAGGTGTTTAGTAAAATTCTGCTTACAGAAGGCGCTAGCTACAGTTTTAACAACACAAAAGAGAGGACACAGGAAGCTGCGCCATGCCAAAGGTTCTAGATTCCCAAGGGGAAGTAACCCTGCGAGTGCTACAATTACTGTACCAACCTGTTGATCTCCACCTCATTCGAAATGGGCTATGCTCTGTGGGTGTCGTGGGATAGGAATGGTTAATGGATACGCATCATACTTCAGTCTGTCTAGTGGGAATGCGGAGAAGGAAATAGCCGTTTTGTTTTTTTTTTCAATTTGGGAAAGTGTCTAATTGAAAGTTGACACTGCTCTAGGGGAATAGCACATGTTATGATTGTCTCCTTTGGCTCCATGGAGACGTGGTCTATGGAGACAAGACATTTTCCAATAAGGAGAAAGTCACCGGCTAAGCTAGTGGCTTCAGTATGGTGTTTGGTGATTGGCTAGTGTGTAGATTTCTCCAGTACACGTATACAGGTTGAACCTCCCTTCCCTTGTCCGGCAACATCTGTGGTCTGGCAAAGTTGAAGCACTCACGGGGAAAAACCAGGGACCCCACACAGGGCCGGCCCACAACATTTTGGCACTTGAGGCGGGGAGCTCAAATGACACCCCCATGCCCCCCTTGCTTGAGACAAAATTTTGAAGGTCTCTTGCACACTCCTTCCTCCAGCACAGCACTCCACCATCTCTGTGCATCTGGAGCAGAGAGAATACATAGGCACCAGCAGCAGATACAATTTTCTACACTCTGGGGCCTAGTGACGCGCCTCCCCACAATCTGGCACGGCAACTCCAGGTCATCTCATGGTAAGGCCGGCCCTGACCCCACACTTAGCAACTTCAGTTCCAGAGTCCCATAAAGAGAGGTATGTCTACACTACAGCACTAATTTGAACTAACTTAATTCGAATTAGTTAATTCCAACTAAACTAATTCGAACTAGTGCATCTAGACCTAAAAACTAATTCGAATTAGCGTTTTGCTAATTCGAAATAGCATGTCCACATTGAGTGGACCCTGAACCGAAGTTAAGGCTGGCCGGAAGCAGTGCCGGCAGGGTATCAGGTTAGGATTTAGAGTGTGGAGCTGCTGTCTCAGGCTAGCCGAGGTGTGCGCTTAAAGGGACCCGACCCCCACCCCGGACAGACAGTTCTCAGGGTTTCCCACTTGCTTGTCTAACTCGATGAGGGACAGCAAAGCAGTCCTGTCTTGGAGTGCCCTGAGTGCCCTTCCACCCCAAGGAGCCCACAGAGCCACCCCAGTCTTCCCCATCGGGGGCTCGTGCCTCATTCCTCCCTCACCTCCTTCCACTTACCCCTCCCTAACCCCCCTTCCTGATGTACAAAATAAAGGACACGTATGGTCAAAAATAGAAACTCTCTTTATTTAACAAAACGGGGGAGGAGGGAATTAACCTCTGGGGTGATTGGGAAAAGGAGGTGGGAGAGGGGAAGAGAGAGGGTGGAAGAGGGGAGGGGGAAACCTGGGAGGAGAGAGCTGGAAGGGGGAAGCCAGGGGAAGAAGGAGGGGAAGTATAAAACTATGTATGCCTTATCTTCAGTACTGTGTACAAATGTGGTCTCGTCACCTCAAAAAAGATATTTTGGCCTTGGAAAGGGTTCAGAAAAGGGCAACTAAAATGATTAGAGGTTTGGAACAGGTCCAATATGAAGGGAGGCTAAAGTGACTGGGACTTTTCAGCTTAGAAAAGAGGAGACTGAGAGGGGATATGATAGAGGTATATAAAATCATGAGTGGTGAGAAGGTGAATAAAGAAAAGTTCTTCATTAGTTTTCATAATATAAGGACTAGAGGACACCAAATGAAATGAATGGCCAGCAGGTTTAAAACTAATAAAAGAAAGTTCTTCTTCACACAGAGCATAGTTAACCTGTGGAACTCCTTGCCACAGGAGGCTGTGAAGGCTAGAACTATAACAGAGTTTAAAGAGAAGTTAGATAAATTCATGGAGGTTGGGTCCATGGAGTGCTATTAGCCAGGGGGTAGGACCGGTGTCCCTGGCCTCTGTTTGTGGAAGGCTAGAGATGGATGGGATGAAACAAATTGCTCGGTCCATCCCCTCCAGGGCATCTGGTGCTGGCCGCTGTCGGCAGACAGGATACTGTGCTAGATGGACCTTTGGTCTGACCCAGTACGGCCGTTCTTATGTTCTAAGCTCAGGGCTCAGGGTTGGGGGTCTCACTGGACCAACTTGATTTTCATGCAAACCTGCTCCTGGGTCCGCATGTGGCCTCTGGTGACCA